TTCAGTTGTAAAAATTCAGTACCTTGGTCAGTTCTTAAAACTTTGACAGTTTTCCCAGTCTCATTTTGGCACAAAGCTACAAAATCCTGAATTTTTTCAGATGCTTCAAATTTATTTTTTAAGAAATAAACAACTCTGTAGTGAGAGTAATCATCTTTACATACCAGCATATATCGAGAATTACCAGTGGAGCTTACTTCCATTGGTCCACAGATATCAGCATGAATTATGGCGCTAACTTCTGTAGTCTTTGTTTTACTCACTGTGAATGGTTCTCGGTGCTGTTTGCCTTGTACACATGCAGCACAAAAGAAAGGTTTCTTGTCATCAGTCCATTCAATCTCTTTTTCTTTCAATAACTTCTTTAAGTGATTTACATGTTGGTGTGCAAGCCTCTTATGCCACCACATAAGTGTCTTCTTGGTCTGATCCCCTTTTGAGTCTGTGACTAAGCACTCATCTTTAAAATCAGAATTTTTGTTTATTTCAAAGTTCAATTTGTAGAGCCTTTTTTTGTCCTCTCTCTTTGCAACAGCACGCACTTTATTTGTCTTGTTCTCTATCAGTTTTGAGGTTTTGCTGTCTGAATGCAAATAACAACCTTTGTCTAGGGCTGTACCCAGAGAGAAAAGATTTGTACACATGTCCGGTACATACAATACATCTGTTATGCTTAGGTTTATATATTCAGTACCCGTGTATAACTTAACATTAACTGTACCTACTCCAATTGCCTTGAGTGGTTTTCTGTCTTTTTGTATCTTGAGTTCGGAGTAGGTGTCGAACATGTTGATATTTTTGCATATGTGCTGTGTGGCTCCACTATCTAAATACCAAACAGTGTTGATTGGATGGAAGTTTACACTCATGACTGCTATATTGTCTTGGCTAGTTGAACTTGTCCGGTTCTCTTGTCTGTTTGAGTTTCCACCTTGATTTTTCTTCTTTCTATACCAGCAGTCAGCCAGCCAGCCAATGCCCTTTTTTCTTGCAGTAATTACACTGGTTGACTTGAATCCTTTTCCTGCAGTCTTGTTTAGCATGGCCTGGAATTCCACAGTTTTCCCATGTAGAATTTCTGTACTGACTTGTTCTTCTTATATTGGTGTTAACTGTACTCGACTTTCTCGCAGCCAGGGCTACTGTTCCTTCTTGTGCATTCATTCTTTCTTCTTCTATAAGCAGCCTAGCGGTTAATTTTTCCGTTTGTTCGGCTTCTGATACAGATTCCCACGCCGAAATAAAGTGCTTATAAGCTTCAGGAAGAGTCATAATGAGCTTGGTCATTACCATTTTCTTGGGGAGTTCCTCTCCTCTTTGTCTGAGCGTAGCAACTAGGTTGTTTACTGCTGTTAAATAGGTGTTCATGTTATCCTCAAATTTCAATGAGTAAAATTGTTGGTACAGCAAATGAACACTAACGTTTGATTCCCTCTCATATACAGACTGTAGTTTCTTCCACATTTCATGAGATGTAGTGCAGTTCATTATATGGGTAAGAGGTATAGGCTCCATTCGGGTGACGAGCACTTCTTGAGCTTGAGCATCTGCCTTTTTCCAAGTTGACAACAGAGCGCTTTCTGTAGGAGCTTCTTTTGTACCATCAACATATTCAAAAAGATCCTTCGCAGTTAGAACTACTTTGATTTGAAACTTCCAAGTGTTCCAATTGTCATTCAGTTTGGGCATCTGAATTGTAGGCTCCATGTTGGTTGTTATTCTTTGTTCACTTATCGCTTCCCTATTTTAGTCACACAACTAACACAACACTGATAAATCTATAATAATGTTCCTGGGCCCATAACCTGTTGAGACAATGGAAGCAGTATCAATAAATAACATTGTCAGTTCAATTTACCAGTTTAATCACAGTAATAACTATAGAGAAAATCACAAAAATGTCCCTTTTTATCACAAGAAGGTTGAACACAAAAACTCTCGGGCAGCGTCAGACTCTCACTTTAATCACTGCTGTCACTAATTCACAGCGCCCTTCCTTTTTTGTAAGACTGTTGGAACAAAAAAAAACAAAAGAATGGAAAAGAGCGCCCTCTACACAATATGGAGATATAAGGCGCAAACATTCAAACTATAACAAAATTAATACAAAAGTGATTTTTGATTGTTATTAATACTATAACAAGACTGAAGCTGCAGGAGGCTGTTAAAGAATCAAAGAACTATGTAGAAAAGGTACATCACATTGGCAGATTTCCTTTTTAATCCTTCTCACAAATGTTCGTAGGGGGTCATTTCTCTTGTTCAGTCAAGGCCATCTTCCCCTCACCTGCCTCTCTGCCTTTTCTCCCTGAGACAAGAGAGGAGCAGCCCTATGGATAGGTGGTGGGAGGTGATGAAATTGTCCCTAGCTACAGAATCCTGTGCCATGTTTAGTTCCTACACAGTGTCTCCATATGTTCCAGTTATAAAATGTTGCGCAGAACTTTGTAGTAAAGTTAATTATGATGTTTCCTCCTTGGTTACAGTATAAAACCATAGTACCGTAGAGAAACTATATTGTAATTTAACCTGAGGGCTATTAAATTGTTTCTCTCACAGTTTGTTGTGTTGGGCCTCAAACCAGTAAATCATATCTTCACATTTAAGTAATATCATCATCTTTTCTTACTGTGCTACAAACTGAAAGGTCATGGGTTCGATTCCCAGTTAGGTAATTGGGTTTTTAGATTGAACAAATCCTTGCAGTCACACTATAACCCTGGGGCCAACTCAGGCTCTAACAGAAATGAGTACCAGGAATATTCTTGGAGGGTTTAAGGGCGGCTGGCATGTAAGGCTGATAACCTCACTGCCATCTGTGAGCTTATTGTTGAGAAAGTTTGGGAGTCTCGACGTCTTGCACCCCTATGGGCCTCCACAGCCTGTTACAGGGAAAGGTCTATCTTTATTTATACTATCATCCTTTCTTGTATATTGGTTGTTGAGACCTGTTATGGCCTCTTGTCAAATGGGCAGCAGGGGCTGTTTCCCTGGGTGTGGGAGTGGCACTCACCTCCATCTAGAGCATAACTAATTAAGCATAGGGACAGCTTTGCATTTATGGGTACTACAAAACAGAATGCTCTATAACTACATAATTTAACTGTTTGTGATTTGTGAGGTTTGTAGGTGGCAGAGTCAGTACTGGAGAGAAACTCAGAAGGAAACATGGAAGGTGGTTCCATTGTGCTGAATGCTACCGCAGAATTCTGCGGTACGTTGGGTGACATCCCAATTTATGGTCTGGCTGGCAACAGGGATGAGGACGCTCAAGAACTACTTGTGAGTGCAATATAACCATCCACAGATAAATGTACACTTGGCCAGGCACTTTGATTTAGCATGTGTAGAGACTAGAACAGTCCATTGCCCATGTACAGCTATTTACTGCAGCTGCAACAGAATTAGAATGTATTTTAATTACAGTTAAATTCCATGATAATGGATATATAAATTACTGAACTGGAAATATCCAACAGAAATCCTAGAAATAAAAGGACTCGTTATACAATAAGAATGTGACAGTTGAGATGGTAGAACCTTTTTCTTCTTCTTCTTGACAAGTGGTACCTTCTGGAATAAAATGCCATATAATGTGATAAGGTCCATAAGCATTTTGAAGGAATGTCAGTGGACTTACAGGATGTGACTTCCCAGAAGATAGTGACTTTCTTGATCTCTACAAGAATCTGAAATCCAGTCTCTTTTTCCCATCTTTTATTTCTTTTTTCTCCCTGTGCCATGTGCATGATACAAGGGTAGAAAAGACGCTACTAGGAATTATATGTGAAATTGAAATAGGGATGAATAAATAGCTCAGAACATAACTAAATGAAAAAGCAATAGTTCTTTAATTTTATTCATTGCAAAGTGAATTTAATGTTAATGATCACAGTATTCTCACTGCAAACTCAGAATTAGTTGGCAGGTGTACATTGCTTGGCAGAATGAGAGTATGTTTCTAATAGATGTGTAACTTTAAAGCATAGTATGATATTAAAAAGACATTTTGGCAAAGAAGTTTCAAGATGGTCAGTATAGTCGGAAGAATTCTATCTTCTGGGGTATCATCCGAATTTCCAGGGGAACATGTCATCTGAACCTTCAGGGTCAAAGAATGAATGAAACAAGAAGCCAGCATGAAGCAGGTAGGAAGCTTGGCTTTGTTACCTGCCAGCACTGGTTTCTTGCTTCATTTCTTCTTCAACCCTGAAGGTGGAGGCGACATGTTTCTGCAAAATGTCTGTTGACTTTCGACAGACTACACGGCATTATATCCCAGATTACAGAGCTCTTCAAAACCACTGCTGTCAGAAGCTCAAATACTACACAGTGTAGTCAGTACTTTACAATGCAGTAATTTTTTATACAGTGGTTGGTGGGTAAGCAGTTCAGATTTCAGTCTATCTCAAGGTAATTTTGAATTGGTAAATTTTGGGCTGCGCATTTGCATTCTGCTAATCTCATAAAAACTTTACACTACAGGACTTTGAGAGGGAAATGATGGAAGAGAAGAAACGTCAGGAAGAAGAAGATAAACGTGGAGCTAGGAATGAATTTGAGATTGGTGAGTCATTAGCAGATTCTTTATGTACAACATAGGCATATTCACATTTAGAGATATTGACACTTTAGTATTGGTTTTAATTGTACGTTTATATTTTAAGTATTTCATAAATGGTGTACCATATTTAATCATATACTGCAGTTTTGTTAGGGGTTTTAGTAGAAACACATTAATCATTACTGTTTAATATTAGTAGCGGTAGGATAGTTGGTTTAGGCACTGTGCTACAAGTTGGAAGGTCATGGGTTCAAGTCCTGAGGAGGTCATTGTTTTTTTTTTCAGTTGACCTAATCCTTCCAGCTGCACTGTGGCCCTGGTGTCAACTCAGCCTCTTAACAGAAATGAGTACCAGGAATTTTTGTGGGCGGTAAAGCATGGCTGGTGCGTAAGTCTGACAACCTCACCGCCATCGATGAGCCGATTGTCTAGAAAATTTAGGAGCCCTAATGTGTCACAACCCTATAGACCTCCACAGTCTGTTACAGAGATAACTTTACTTTTTTTCTTTTTACTGTATAGTGTCTTGGTATGTAATGAATGTCACTCATGAAGAATGCTGTCTTCCGGGATGTGGCACTGTATAGATATTGTGTAAACCAGTGTTTTGGAGGAACGTATCGCCTCCATCTTCAGGGTATAAAAATCCACAAGCGAGGAACTAGCGTGAGCAGTTGGCTGCAGACTAAGTAACCTAAGTTGTCCTGTAGCTGTCAAGTCTTCTCCACAGCAGACCTTAGGGAAGAGAATTGTCATGGGCACAAGGATTGGCCACTTACTTTGATTATGGTGTAGAGTAGGATATTTTGAAGGGTAAAGAATATCTGAGCTTTGAATACTTTGTCATCTCCTCTATAACTGGATTGCAAGTCTCGTCTCGTCTCTTGGGATTGACCCACTTGAGTATTAGGGAGGTGTACACAATGGTCAAGACAGGACAAAGTAAGCAAGCAAGGCTAATTAAGGAATTTAATATACAGCATTGCTTTATCTTTTTCAGAGATGATGAAAAGTTTGGGCATCGCGAGCGCTACAGTGGTCTGACCTCAGACTTCAAAGAAAAGGAGGGCTACAAACCAAATGTTAAACTCGACTACACAGATGATGCTGGACACGTACTTAATGCAAAGGAGGCTTTCAGGTTAGCACAAATAATAGCATATCTGTTTTTAAGATAGGTTGCACTGTGGAAGGTAGCCTGTCCAATGGTAGTACATTCTTTAGAGCAGAGAGAGTAATTGCCATTTTAACAAAAAAATTCCAAGGAGGAAGCATGTGTGCCCTG